AGACTCCAAGACAACGTTTTTAAGCATTACTGCATTAACCCTTTAACGCCCAAATGTGCTGTTTTCCGACTTGAATTTTAACTTCGTACAACTATTAAAAGAAAGCTAAAAAAAATCCAAAAGTACCATTTCCTACTATTTTCGGGGTCGCTCTTTCGAATGGCGCTGTCAAAATTTCCAAAAAATGAAATTAACCCCCTCTTTTAATAAAATTTTCCAAAAAATGCAAGATTTTTGGATAAAATTTTTTTTCTATTGCAATTTTCATTGTTATATCGGTATCTACATATCGTCTAAGGTATAAAAACCGTATTCAAGATAGCTGTATTTTAAAAATTTGCAGTAGGTTTTTTTCATTTTTCATTAAAAAATGGCACAAGAACGCTAAATTTTTTTTTTATTACACATACAAATTTTTTTTTCTAAATTTGCCTAAATTCGCTTGAAATTTGTTACTCGGGGGTTTATGAGGTCGCTAATTACGAATCTGATGTTAGTTTTGAAAAATTCAAAATGGTGGATTCAATATGACGGATGATTTTTTCAAAAATCATTCAGATTGGCTTAAAAATTGGTACTCGGGGGTTTTTGGGGTCGCTGATTACGAATATGATGTAAGATTTTGAAAATACAAAACTTCGGATCTAATATGCAACAGATATTCAAATAATAAAAAACATTTGTCTTTAGTAACTGAAGGTGACCAGGACTTAGAATAAGTTTTGGTAGATGTTAGGAGCTGTTCAAAAAATACGTAACGCTTGGGGGGGAGGGGAGGGGTCAAGCTATTTGTTACGGTCAGCAGAAAAAATGGCGCTAATGTATACAACATTGCGTTACATGGGGAGGGGGAGTCCAAATTTCCGAAAAATAGCGTTACGTATTTTTTGAACGGCCCCTTACAAACTTTTTTTAATTTAACCCTCAATGTGTAAAATCAAATCAGCACTTTACCTCCCTTTTATTATTCGCTTAAGAAAATTACCCTTGCCTTAGCTCAGGACGTGACAGAAGACAACCTCAAACTAAGTTTAATGATAAAAAAGGTCCCCACTTTAAAGTTCAATAAGTAATTAAACTAAGTTTTATGAAAGTAATGTTTCAAGTTTGACATTGTTATTAATTGAGTATAAGTAAATTCCAAAATTGACCCAAATAACAATTTTTTATGTCCGACATATTAGATCCGAAATTTTGGAATTTAAAAACTAACATTATATTCGTAATAAGCGACCCCAAAAACCCCCAAGTACTAATTTTTAAGCCAATCCGAATGATTTTTATTTTTTCGGTCGCCATTTTGGATCCGCTATTTTCGATTTTTAAAAATTAACATTATATTCGTAATCAGCTACCCCAAAAACCTCTGAGTACCAATTTTTAAGTCAATCTGAATGATTTTTATTTTTTTTTGCCATTTTGAATTCGCCATTTTGGATTTTTAAAAACTAACATCATATTCGTAATCAGCGACCCTGAAAACCCCCGAGTAACAAGTTTCAGGGGATTTTGGTGAATTTTAAAAAAAATCGTCCGTCATATTGAATCCGCCATTTTGAATTTTTCAAAACTAACATCAGATTCGTAGTTAGCGACCCCATAAACCCCCGAGTAACAAATTTCAAGCAAATTTAGAAAAAAAAATTCAGCGTTTAGGCGACATTTTTTAATGAAAAATGAAAAAAAACTACTGCATATTTTTAAAGTACAGCTATCGGGAATACGGTTTTTATACCTTAGCCGATATGTAGATACCGATATAACAATGAAAATTGCAATAGAAAAAAAATTTTATCCAAAAATCTTGCATTTTTTGGAAAATTTTATTAAAAGAGGGGGTTAATTTCATTTTTTGGAAATTTTGACAACGCCATTCGAAAGAGCGACCCGGAAAATAGTAGGAAATGGTACTTTTGGAATTTTTTTAGCTTTCTTTTAATAGTTGTACGAAGTTAAAATTCAAGTCGGAAAACAGCACATTTGGGCGTTAAAGGGTTAAAACGGTCACGTCTCATTCTTCAGTCCTTTCGTGCTTCTTCTGACCAAGTTAGTCCCTGGTAGAACTTCTCGTCTTTTTTTGCCGCTGCTACGTGCTTCTCCTTTACCTCCTGTATGAACGATGTTAAGCTTCTGAGTCCATCCTTGATTGTCCTATTGACATTCTTCTGGACTTCGCAGGATTTCAGCATCTTGCTGACCTCTTCCTCCATTTCTAGAATGCTTGCTGCCTCTTCCTCCCCCAGCTTTACGCATTCATCTGGATCTTCATTGCAGCTAGCAATGTCAATCGCAGAAGCATTACTGAAGACAGAAATGCTGCTGGCTTGACTCGTCACGCTGCTCGTACTCCCTCGTCTCTCCACCTTGTCCACGATGATCTGTGAAACTCCCAACGCGTTGTTGCCCTCCTGCATCCTTGGGACACTGGCCACCGTCCTCACGCCAGGCGCTTGACGATCAGAACCAGTGAGGGATTTAGCCGTAGCATTACCCCGCAGGTACTCTTCCTCTTTTTTACAATCGCTCATACTTGGTGTTTGTCCCGTGTCGAGGGACGATATAGACGTTATAGCATTATATGTCAAAAACAGAAAAGTTTAAAGTAACTTTATTTAAAAGTTATGATCGTTTCACTGTCACATTACCAAAGTTTACATTTTTCTAAATTTTGACAAGATAAACCGTCAATTCTCTGACAAGTGACTAAACAGTTTATCTGGTCATGATTTCTAATCATTACTTCTAACAAGTCACTGGCTAGAAATTCTGGTTACAATCGGATTAGAACTTCAGTTCTTAAACTTGTAGTTATGATAAGTTACTATTTAGTCACCGTGGCTGCGTGGTAGCACACATGCGTTGTGTCTTCAGGGTCTAGGGTTCGATTCCCCATGCGTGCAAAATTTTTCATTCTTAGATTTAAGTGTTATTGGTTAGAGTAATTGTTTATTAGTCTTAAATATTTGAATAAACACAAAAATATAAATAAATATGTCATTATAAACAAAATAAAAAGAGCTAAAAAAATAATATTTTATTCTAGATTTTGAGCAGAAAACTGTCCAGCTACTGGTCAGTTACTGGTCAGTTACTTGCCAGATAATCTAACTAGTGACTGCTAAAGCAGCGCGTTAGATTTTTAATCAATCACTTGACAGATTTTCTGGTCAATCACTGGTCAGAATCTAGAAAAACTTCCCAGTGACTAGTCATTACAGAGTTGAAATTTCTACGCAATTCTACACAAATTTAAGCATTCTAGGTTAAAACAAAATTTTGAGAACGTAATCCATGTGAGGAGGTACCTCACAAAAATTGATGCTTGTGATCTGTAAGTTAAAACGATCAAATCGTAACTCTACTCATGAAAGGGGATTTACGAGGTATCTCTTTGACCTGTAGGCGCTCTAAGGAGTCGTTACTCAAAATTTAGGTCAAACGTGATCCATTTTTAATTCTACAGGTAAAAAATTAGCGCTATGAGGTCCCCTAAGTGACGTTACATATCAAAGAACTTTACGTTTGATCTATGGCCCAAAATAATCGTTTGTTACCATACATCAAAATTAAGGTTAATATTGTCGTATTTTTTCCCCTGGAAGTAAAGTGTCAATTTTATACAACAGATTTTTATTTACAGATAAGAGAATGCGAAGTTACTTCAAAATTTTCGAATTAAGAGTATTGATAAATTACAGAAAAATTTATCTTAAATGTAAATGTAATCATTATGTAATAAGTAGTAAAGTTACCTCAAAAATTAAATTAGATTTGAACCTACCTTCAAATTTATTCAAAGTTTATACTTCATAATAAAAATAATTAAAGTAATTTTAATATTAGGTTTCAGTCAAAAAAAAAGTTGAACTGACATCTATTTTTAAAATATTCCATTAAAATAATCATTTCAATAAATTCAAATAAATTTTTTAATACATTTCAAAAAATTTAAGAAAATATTGTAAAAAGCAAAAATATACTTATAGTTTGGAAAAATTTGTTCTCTTTCAAATAATAAATAATTAATAAATAAATTTTTTTGCTATACACAAAAAAATACAAGATGTAAGTAAACAAAGATAAATTTCTATTTGGGTAAGGCTTTCTGAAGTGAACCAATGATTTTCGAAGGGTAATTTAATTTTATTTAAACTGAATATTTTAGAAGTAAACCATGATAAAGAACACCTGCAAATAGTTTTTTAAAATAATTGTTGAGTTTCTATTATTGTTTTGTGGGTGTTTTAAATAATACGCAAGTTTGACTTTATATTAAATCGAACACTTTATTTAGTAACGTGAAAACACACCTGTTATCTTTTCTATAAAACAAAGAAGTAAGAGAGGAGAGCGAGAGCCGTAGAGAAGAAAACTTAGAGAGGGCGGAACTGCCTACAACTGGAGTCAATTGAGCAATTATAAATAGCGTTTGGCGCTAAATTTAAATAGTCTCAACACTCCCTCCCTTGATTGACTCCGTTACATAACATTTTAGTTAACTTATTGTTATATATATATATATATATATATATATATATATATATATATATTTGTTTGAAGTACATAAGTCGCACAAAAGTATGATTCTTAACAAGTGAATTTGATAATAAAATAAGTAATTAATTCTCTTCGAGATTGTGTAGATCCAAGAAAGATTCCAGTTATTGGTTTCCTAGAATATTAAAGAAAATTTAAATTAGAAATTCATAAATAAGTTATTTATAAAAGATTAGTTCAGAAAACAGTCGTCTTATGTTAATGAAAAACAAATATTTAAAGAACATCATTATTTAGAATTTTGTCTCGTAGGTCAGTGTGAGATTCAAAAGCTAAAGGTTCAGTCATTATGTCAGCTATTTGCTTTTTGATGGGACCCATTCAATAATTACTCGATTAAATTTTACACATTCTTGAACATAGTCCATATGAACTTCTGTCATGTGTCGTAACCTGTTTCCACCACTCGTTTGAGCACATATAGTTGCTGCTTTGTTGTCGCATCAAACGGTAGCTGGAAGTAAGCTGTCGTTATATACCCGCATTAGAGACTTATTAATGGCAATAAGCTCCTGACAGGCCTGGCTCATGGCCACATACTCAGCTTCACAAGTAGACAGAGCAACATAACTCTGTTTAGTAACACGCCAAGCTATTGTGTCCCCGAAAAGTTTGATTATGAAACCGCAAGTAGAAACTGACGATTTACAATCTGCAAAACTTGCGTCAGAGTAGGCCAACAAACCATTTTGTCTTCCGAGATATTTTAATCCCAAAGACTTCGTTCCTTTTAAGTATTTGAAAACCCTTTTAACCATGTCCCACTCGTTCTCGGTTGGGTTTATTTGATGCCTACTTAGCACGTTCACAGTAAAGGCAATGTCTGGCCGAGTAGCACTGGCTAGATATAGAAGGCTACCGACTGCCTCTCTGTACGGAATATTTAAAGATTGCTCGTCAATTATTTTACTCTCTTCTTCACGTTGTCGTCTTTCACAATTAGCTTCTTGCCGTGTGATCATTGGTGTGTTTTGAGGAAATTCATTGTTAAAGCCGAATTAAACCAAGATTTTATCAATGAATCTTTCTTGATTAATTGTCATCACTCCCGTTTGCCTATTTCTTTGGATGTTCATGCCTAAGAAGAATTTAGGTTCTCCTAGGTCACTCATTTCAAAAATATCCATTAACTTGATTTTTATTTCTGTAAGTATTTTGCTGTCGTTACTCGCTAATAAAATGTCATCTACATATATTAGCAAAATAACCTTCGTATTGCCTGAGTTTCATGTGAAAAGACATGGATCGTATTGATCACTCGTCAGTCCCAAAGAATTTACAACCTCAGTGAATCTCTCGTTCCATCGTTTAGGACTAATTCTTAATCCATAAAGAGCTTTTAGAATCTTACACACTTTTGTTTGTCTATCTTCTTTGGTCACTTCCATTCCCTCGGGAATTTCCATGTAGACTTCGTCTTTGATTATTCCATTGAGGAAGGCTGTTTTGACGTCTAGTTGACAGACTTCTAAGTCATAGAAGTTTATCATAGCCAAAACAGACCGAACAAGAGTTAGTCTGGAAACCGGCGCATACGTTTCCTTTAAGTCGTATAAATTCGAATCTTTGAACCCTCGTATGACTAATCTCGCTTTGAACCTTGTAACACCGCTACCGTCCTCCTTTTGTTTAAAAACACATTTTGAGTCGATGATATTAGGTTTCTTACCATATTTGCTGAATTTGGGGCGATCTACTAGAGACCATACTTTATTTCTCTTTAAGGAATCTAGCTCGTCATTTATCGCATGAGTCCACTCGTTTTTATGCTTCGACTCTGAAGCTTGTTTGAATGTTTGAGGATCGTTGTTTATGCTTGCATGTAAGCAATGCAAGATTTGGTCACTTGCTTTATCTCTCGTATTCTGAAACTCTTCTTCTATGGAAGGAAATTCGAATTTTTCTGATCTAGATTGGACATCTATAAAATTCACAAAGCTTGTGTCAACGATTTTACGACTGCGAGTGTTATAAGGCTCTTTCACTGCTTGCGATGTTAATTTTGTCGTTTAATTTTATCGTTTTCATCCTCTCCCTCCGTCTCTGATTGTTGCTTGCGTGGTCTCCCACGTTTTCTCTTCGCTTCTCCCTCCGAACCTAAAAAATTACACTCGTTTGTTACTTTAGTCACATCGTCATTTTCAAATTTCAGAAACCACTCGTTTTTTGAGCGTTCGATTTCTTTATCAGGCCAGTTTCGAATTGACTCACTTCCGTACTTGTCACCGTAAACCATTTTCTCATTAAATCTAACATTTCTAGATTTGAAGAACTTACCCGACTCAGGATTTAAGAAAATATATCCGGAAGGCGTATATCCCACCAAAACTCCTCTTACAGCTCTTGCAGAGAATTTCGTATCCGGTTTTCTTTGGATAGACCAATAGGCCAGACATCCAAAACGTTTAATTTGGTTCACGTCGTAGTGCAAGTTTGGTGCAAATATCTCGAGTGGTGCTTTAAAGTCATTTGTGCGATGGGGAGTTCGGTTGTAAACATAAACGGCTGCACCTAAAGCAAGGTCCCGCATGGTTTGAGGAAGCTTTGAATCAAACATTATGGACCTGATCTTCTTTTGCAATGTTTGATTAAATCGTTCGGAGGTTCCATTATGCTGAGGAGTATCTGGGCAAGCTGGTTGAATTTCGATTCCTTCACGAATTAAAACTTCTTGAGTATAACCTCCCATGTACTCCGTACCTTGGTCTGTTCTAAGATAACAAAACTTCTCATTTGAGTCTAGTAGGTTTCGTGCGGATTTGATGAATCGTTCCAAACAATGACCTGTAGCATCCTTCGTCTTCATGGGGTACGCTAAGGCCATTCGTGAAAAATCGTCTATGAATACTGAGATGTATTGGTAACCAAATGGATGGGTAAGAGGTGCAATTTTTCCCATTACATCTGAATGTATAATTTGTAGAGGTCTAGTTGCTCTACTCCTTTGATTTCGAAACGGTAATTTCGATAATTTTGTGAGAGCACAAATTTCACACTCTCGTCTGCTTTCGTCAAAAACTACGCCTTGTAATTCTTTGTTATCTTTCCATAAACCCTGAAGTTTACGGAGATAGTCAACCGAGGCATGGCCCATTCTTACATGCCACAACATAGCTTTACTTTCCTTTATAGATTCGGTAAATGACTTATTTAAAACAAAGTCATCCTCTAATAGATCTACTGATGGTAGATCATCCAAGTTCGTTATTTTTCTATTTGTGATTTGAGTATCAAAATCTGTAAAAGCACAGAGGTCACACGTATTATCTCCTTTTGTAATCGTTTTACACTCGTTATCATTAATTTGATCTATTTTTAAATCAACAGTCTTTATATTATCGTCAGTATTTTCGCTCGTTTCGTTATTAACATTACTTGGGGGCTGCTCGTTTTCGTTATCATCATTAACTTTCGTTTCGTTTCGTTTGTTTCTGTCGTAGCATCAACATTTTCTTTTTCTTCGTTCGGTTCTACAGTAGTTTCAAAAACATATACATCAGAAGAGTTCAATCGTTTTTGTTGGACCTTTTCATTGTCAATCTTAAATTTCATAACCCAGTAGGGTTTATCGTATATTCCTGTAGCGTATACTTCGGTCGTTTTTGGATCGTAAATTTTAACTCGCTCTTTATCGAAATAGGTTGATAATCCAGCTTCCGCAAATTTTCTTAAAGAAAGCAAATTTTCGGATAATGAGTTTGTGTATATAGTGTTGTCCAAGACGAGCGACTTTTTGTTATCTGAGTTTGAAATAATGTTCACTGTGCCTTGACCCTCAGCAACTAAGTCAGCTTCACTGTTTTTATTAGCACACTTAATTACGCTAGATTTCGACTTTTGAAGGTCACTGAAAATTTCTGAAGAGTTCGTTAAATGTTCAGTTGCTCCGGTATCGACAATGAAAGAGACATAGTTTTTATTGCTCTGAGTATTATTTAAAGAACCTTTGTTATTTGATTTTTGTAAGTAATGTGTTGATAATAACGACTGTTTTCTTTTATCAAATTGAGGTTTTAATTTCGTTTCTAATATAAGAGAGTTTTCATACGTACATTTATTGTTTTGTTGCACCTTTAGCTTTTCGTTCGTCCATGTTCGAGATTGGTGTTGGCTAGTTTTATTTCCTTTTTGTTTAAACTGTCTATTGGCCCCGTCGCGAGTTGGTTTTGAGTTTGAGCTGTTTTTACTTCGAAGGTCTTTTGCCTTAAAAGAGCGCTTATTATTCGCCTGCATTCGATTTTCGTATTTATAATTATTGTTTTTATATTGTTTATCTTTATTTGTTTTATTAAAGCTTTTTCCATTTTTGGCTAGTCTCTGGGGACATTCAGCAGCAATGTGGGTAGTGAACTGCCCACATTCGTAGCATTTCTTTAAGCCTTGTCCTTTTATTGGACACTCGTTTCTCATGTGGCCACTATCGCCACATTCGAAACATCTCTCGTTTGACCGATTCGAATTTATAAAAGACGCGGATGCCACTGTAATTGCTTTCGAATTTGGATGAGTGGTAGTATTGGATTGCAATTTATTTGCTTCGGCTTGCATTATAAAAGATTTTAAAAGGTCGTATGTTAAACTTTTTCCTGTTTGGCTTTTCGTGATAAATTCTATTGATTGAATTTCCGGAACTTGACTCTTTATTGAGTTATATAGGGCATCGCGCTTTTCATCATCGGAAAGTGGAGTTGAATCAGGAATTGTTTCATAATTATGAACTAATTCCTCAAATCTATCTAAAAAGGCATTTGCTGTTTCCTGACTCGCGTTATATTGCATTGCATACAATTGTTTGCGAACGCTGACACTAGTCACATTGACTTCACAGCGCTTTATTTCTTTTACTTTTTCGAGAATTTCGACAGGATCTTTAATATGAAGAATACGGTTGTGATAGTTTTTATCAATTCGGTTAATAAGGATATCGCGTACTTTGAATTTGTGTTTTTCTTTCAAGATGTCGTTAATACCGTCCGGAATTTTAATATTTTTATCAATTACATACATATAATAGATCAATGGTTCGAAGTTCTGAGGTCAAGAATTCATAAAAATGATCGAATTTACCGCGTGCCTCTAATTTATAGTCATGTTTTAAGTTTTCTTTCCCTATTAACTCTACCCTTATTGCCTCTTTAACGCGGTTTGCTATTGTTTGAGGTTCGTTTAGGTCTGTATTCGATACGGAGGAATTATTTATAAGTTTAACTTTTTCGGGAAACGTCGTTTTTTCTCTATTTTGTAAATGCATGTTTATTTCAGATTGTTTTAATGTTTTTGGTACGGGGACTTTTAAATCGGTTGAAAGCTGTTCATCTGATATTATTTTAGGTATTTTAGCTCTGGACTCATCCAACTCGCGCTGTCGTAGCCATAGCTTTAAGTTGTCCTGCATTTCTGAGTGAAGATTTATTGTTACTGATAACATTTGTTCCATCGCTTGGATTTGATTGTTGAATTTCGTGTGGAACTTCGTTAGTATGTCTTTGAAAATGAGAACAGTCGTTTTTAATATCATCGATAGTCCCAAGATGATTTATATTTTTCTGTTCTTTCGATTTCGCACTGTCGTTCCTGTGATTCTTTTGACCCTCGCTAGTTCCGGAACTCGATTCATCTATATGCGGTGACACACCTACCGAAAAAGGATTCGTTATTACTTCATTTTTGTCGTCGACGACAACAGTCGTACCTTCGTTATTAAACATCGTTTTCGTTATAGGGTCAAAAGATGTCATGGAAATAAATTTTTGTTTACCTTGGTTTACAACATCGTTTATTTTTATTGAACTCCGTAGCATTAGAAGACTATAATCTAAAGGTTGCATTTCCTCCGTTTCGTCGTTGGTTCCATGATCAACAGCATCCGCACCCTCGTTATCTTCGACTTCGTAAATACCTTCAGCACTTTCGTCTTCCATAGTCGGTAAAGGCGTTTCTAAATGGTTTTCAGCGTCGCCACCGATTGGTTTGAGGTCAAAATAAGTGAAACCGGCCACTTGAAAAAATTTTTATCTCCAATTTTCAAGTTATCTATGATTTTTACTCAGTAGATATATGAGTACACTTTTTCCCCCTAAAATATTTTTCAAAACAAATTTTATTTTTGAAGTAATTAGGTATTGAAGTTTTAGGTCATTTTATTTTCATTTTATTATTACTTTGAAACAAATAAAGATAATTAAGTAATTTTTTTTTAAATTAAAGCTTAAAGTCTATACTTTAAAGATGAAATAAAGCGATTGCTAAAAAATGAAAATTTATAATTGTTATTAACAATTCTTTTAAACAATTGCAAATTGAAGAATGTTCTCAATGTTTTTGAAAGATTAAATTACGATATATTGATGCGCAAAACTATAAGGATTCATTTAAAAAAAAAGAAAAATGAGTAACCTCCAATATTATAGAAATTGTGTAGATTTTTCTGCCAAAATGCAGGCCAAAATCGATTTTTAATCTTAAAAATCCGCTTGAAAGCGTGAAGTTTCTAACAAAACAAAAGAAGATCTTATTTATTCGTTTGCAATTTTATCTTTTTCCAGGAACTTGAGTCAATTTTTGCTTGCATTTTGTCAGCAAAATTTACATAATTTCTATAATATTGGAAGTTACTCATTTTTCTTTTTTTTAAATGAATCCTTATAGTTTTGCGCATCAATATATCGTAATTTAATCTTTCAAAAACATTGAGAACATTCTTCAATTTGCAATTGTTTAAAAGAATTGTTAATAACAATTATAAATTTTCATTTTTTAGCAATCGCTTTATTTCATCTTTAAAGTATAGACTTTAAGCTTTAATTTAAAAAAAAATTACTTAATTATCTTTATTTGTTTCAAAGTAATAATAAAATGAAAATAAAATGACCTAAAACTTCAATACCTAATTACTTCAAAAATAAAATTTGTTTTGAAAAATATTTTAGGGGGAAAAAGTGTACTCATATATCTACTAAAAATCATAGATAACTTGAAAATTGGAGATAAAAATTTTTTCAAGTGGCCGGTTTCACTTATTTTGACCCTTTGTGTTTCTGTTCAAGTTCAAAAATCTCTGCACGCAAAATTTCCCAAACGTCTTTCAGCGAATTTCGACCTTAAATAAAAAAATTTACTAAAGTCTAATACATAAAAAAAAGAAGGAAAATGCCCCCTTATTTATTTATTTTATTTATTTATTTTTTTTTATACTTTAGAATTAAACAGAAACTTGCTCTTAAATCACCTGATCGAACACAAATCAAGATGATTTAGAACTGATTTTCTTTCTCGTACTTATTACTATTAAGTATGTTTAAAAGAAAATCTAGTCATTAAAGTCGTCTGAAATGCACACAATTTTTCCGACTTTAACAACCCAAACAGTGGTTTAGTGTGTCTTATTTGTGCAGAGAATATTTAATATTCTGAGACTGTTCCTGGATACAAAACTTAAGTAAAACCATTTATTAAATTATTTGTTAATTTCAAATATTTTCGACGCTAATTCGAAATTAATTTCACTTAGTTTTTTTTTATTTGTTAATTAATTAACTAGCTAGTTTCGTTTATTTGAAAAAAAAACGTAAGAAAAAATTCATTACATTCGTTAATGGTGAATTTTAATTAAAACATCGTTATAAACTCGTAAATATAGGATTATTTAAAAGGCATACTTAGAGTAGCTGATTCTCCAGATGAAAAGTTAATTTGAAAATTCTCTCCATCAATTTTTGCACGAATTAACAGGTTCTGCGTCATTTCAATTTGAAGTGCATTCCGGCATCGTTCGATCAACTGCGAAAGTACGCTTGTGTTCACTAATTTAGTCATTTTGTTAAAATGAACTTAAGTCTTATTCTAATTAAATTAGCTTGTCTGTATCTTATTTAAGACAATTAAATAAACACTTATTTTCACTTGGTCAAATTTTTAAAATAAAAGAGGATTCTGCTTCCCCCTTTTTTTGTACACTCACGTAGCCATATTGCGAGAAAGATGCTTTTCACTAAACACGTTCACCAGTCGAACAAAAAATAAAAACGGCACTACACAGTGGAAAAAATACTGCGACCCATAACCTGTTGTGTTTCTATTATTGTTTTGTGGGTGTTTTGAATAATACGCAAGTTTGACTTTATATTAAATCGAACACTTTATTTAGTAACGTGAAAACACACTCGTTATCTTTTCTATCAAACAAAGAAGTAAGAGAGGAGAGCAAGAGCCGTAGAGAAGAAAACTTAGAGAGGGCGGAACTGCCTACAACTGGAGTCAATTGAGCAATTATAAATAGCGTTTGGCGCTAAATTTGAATAGTCTCAACAATAATAGTTTTTTAAAAAGTTATTAACAATTTAATTTTTTAACACCTTTTTTGAAAAAAATGAATTACTTGAAAACAAATTGTAACAAATAATATGAAATTTAATTTCATGTTTAACATAAGCAAAAAATGAAATCTAATTATTCGTCTTTATAAAAAAGGCAATTTTTAAATCTTGGAGTCAATAGTTTTTCTAACTTATAATATTGATGAAGTTAGGTTTAGTTAGTTGGTAATACTTTCAAACTCTGCGTAAAATAAAATGCTAGAAAGAAAATTTAATTATCTCATTAAGAACAGGCTTAAATTTTAATTTGTTTATAACAATTTTTTATTATTTAAACAAATTGCATGATAATTTAAAAGTAGAATTGGAATTTTAAAAAGTAAGATTTTTTAAAGAAGTTGTCCAATTTTTATCGAATTCTGTTGATTAGTTTTCATGCAATTCATATTTTTCGAAAAAGGTGTTAAAAAATTAAATTGTTAATAACTTTTTAAAAAATATTTGTGACGCGCTCTAAAGAAAGGTACCTAAGAAGCGAACGAATTATTATAGGTTAGGTTCATGTTAGATTTATCTTGATTAAAAGTTTATTTTTAATTATTTGAATTTGAAACCAGTTCTCATTGAATATTTTGATATAATGAAGACTTGAAGATCAATAATTTTTAATTAATAATTGATTCTCTTTCTGTATTTTTACTCAAAAAATTACAAACATAACCTCAAATTTTTTGCTTCTTAGGTACCTTTCTTCGGAGCGTGACACATTTGCAGGTGTTGTTTTTATCATTGTTTACTTCTAAAATATTGAGCTTAAATAAAATTAAATTACACGTCGAAAATCATTGGTACACTTCAGAAAACCTTACCCATTTAACAATTAAAAAACTATTATTTAAAGTGGCTTTAATGTAGTTACAAATTAAATAGAGATGTACGAATAGTTCGAATCAACTGTAGTTTGAATTCAAATCAAAATTTTTTTATAATTTTAACTTTCAAAAAAATTGTATGATGTAATTTAATAATCTACTTATAAATGTAATATACATGTTCATATTTTAATAGATTTAAAATAAAATGTGTTTATATTTAGATGTAATATAAATATTTATATGTCAAACTAAAAAATGAAACACGTCTTATGATATTAACAATTTCATTTTATTAAACAATACATTGATGCGTAGTGAAACAAATTCGAATCACCTTTAGATTCGATTCGAAATTTTTTTATTAGGTTGGATTCGAGACCTGAAAACCCTTATTCGAACATCTCTAAAATTAAATAAAAGACTATTTATATTTAATTATTTATAATTATTACCCATAAATTATAATAATTAATACACTCTAAATTTGAATTAGTGAAAAACCACTGGCAATTAGTCAAATGTAACTGATTCTCAGTCATTCTTTAGGACGAGTTTTTTTATCTCAATCATTGAAATATGACTAATTGTAAAGGCTCCAGAAAACGATGGAATTAGTTATGAATTTTTTAAAAATCTTCCGCAAAACTGGGTGCTATATCTACTTAGAAGTATTCTATAATAAAACCTTAGATGCGGAAGCGATTTCTCAGGATTGGAGAAAGATGATGACTTTTATGCTATTTAAAAAGTGTGACCCGGAGATTTCGGATAATTATAGACCAATAAAAGCTTAATCGATTCAATCCCATGTCATTTCCAACATATGAATTCATATAGGTTCTTACGTAAGATATCAATTGTTTCCTTTTATAATGTTATCGATCACTTTAGCTCCTATAATTTCACCGCTAAAAATGATTTTCCTCGCTGTTGAGATGATCCTGGAACTCTATAAAAGATAATAATCTGTAGTTCAGAAGACGTGTTACAAATTAACAAATTTTTTTACTTTTTGATGACTTGTAACACTAAAACAACTTATTATTTAATTTTTAATTAAATAATTTTTAGTCCTTTGAAAATTCCTTCATTAGATCTCTAACATATCCCATAAAAATACAATCCTACATATGTTTCAACGCAATTAAGATTTCAAATAGGAATGTTTGTAAGATTTCATGTAGAGAAATTTTTTGAAACATTAGGTAAGATTTTAACTAGGAATTTTTGTAAGATTTTATGTAGGAGAAATTTTTTGAAATATGAAGTAAGATTTTAATTAAGGTTTTTTGTAAGATTTTATGTAAGGATTACTTATCCACAAATTTATAAGAGTTTTTATATGGACTTTTGTGCAGTACCTATACCTTAATATTTTCTAAGATTTTTAATTATTAAAAAGAAAGTAAGAAACTTTAAAATTATACCTGTTAAAATGATGTTTTACATAGAAATAAGAATGTAATTTTAAAAATTTACATCATAATTTCTAATTGTTTCGACAAGTAGAAATGATTTGGTCGACAATCATGAAAGCAATAATCGTTAAATTAAATAGAAAATCAATTTTGAACATATTTTCCCCTCTGAATTTAGATACAGGTTGCACTTTCTATTCTTTGTATATTCAGTGGCTTAAGAAATTCATGAACAGGCAATAAACATTAAAACGGTGCTCTGGACACGGCTATAAAATATTGTTAGGTCGACCTGCTGATCGAATACATTATCACCTTAATGATTTGAAATTCCC